GTCTTTATCTGCTACCTGACTAGAGATGGGCTGCTGCTGCTTCTCAGGTGGTGGGAAAGCCACAGAAGCACTTTGAAGCTACTCCTGACTGTATATCTGGTGAATAAAGTCTTGGCTAGGAAGCACTGCTCTTTTTAGCAAAATTATGTATGAACCAGGTATGTAGCTTAATTTTGCCTATTAGGTTACCAAGGGAAACTGTTGCTATCAGAGGTACTGTGAAATCCTGATGGCCTCTTCCACTGGCCTCCTGCTCTTGGAGAACTTGTCTGCTATTTGGTCTAACACAGTTACCCATCCTTTGGCACCTCATTGCATTGGGAACTGCAGCTCTAGCTGCACAAAGCCCATCGTTTGCAGGTAGGGGAGGAATTGCCTGGCCTGGTTTCACACACTCCTCAGTTCTTTGGGGTGTGTATGTGCAGAAAGGCCGAGTGGAGACTTACAAACTTGTCTCTGACTGTGTAGAGGCAAATTGGAACCAGACCTTGACACACGGTTTCCAGCACTCTGCCTGATCCATCCTGGCTTGTCTTAGAAATAGTGTGAGCAGCAGAAGCAGAGAGGTGATTGTCCCCCTGTCCTCAGCACTGGGTAGGCCACACCTGGAGTGTTGTGTCCAGTTTGGGGCACCTCCACTCCAGAGAGATCTCAAGGTGCTGGAGCGAGGACAGAGGAGGCAATGAAGCTGGTGAATGGCCTGGAGAATCAATCTGATGAGGAAGGCTTGAAGGAGCTGGGAATGTTTAGTTTGAGGAAGAGAAGGCTGAGGGGAGATGTCATCAGTCTCTACAACTACCTGAAAGGTCATTGTAGAGAGGTTGGTGCTGGTCTCTTCTCACAGGTCATTAGTGACAGAACAAGAGGGAAGGGCTTCAAGCTGCACCAGGGCAGGTTCAGACTGGACATTAGGAAAAACACTTTCACAGCAAGAGTGGTTGGACACTGGAACAGTCTGCCCAGGGAGGTGGTGGAGTCACCATCCTTGGACATGTTGAAGGGTCATTTGGAGGTGGTGTTGGTGGATGTGGTTTAGGGGAGAACTTTGTAGAGTAGGTATGGTGGTTGGACTTGGTGATCCCAAGGGGCTTCTCCAACCTGAATGGTTTTATGTTTCTATGATTCTGTGATGTTTAAGGCTTTCTTTCTGTATCATAAAATGCTACCACTGAAAAAATTAGGAGACCATAAACCTTATTTATGAAGTCAATCATAGCTACTTGTGCTAGCTACACATACATATTCCAATAATAAATGAACCTAAGAGAACCTAATGCATCATCATTGTTCATCCTGGTCAGGAAGTTTGACAGCCAACTTCAATGTGAAAAATGAACATTTCAGCATTTCTTGATACATTTCATGTATCAAGTCATATATGTAAAGTATCCTGTTTGACACTTTGGTCAGTTACCATAAGTGCTATTTACAAATTATTTCATCTCTCTCATATGGTAATAGAAACTGTTCCAGGGGTATCCTCCAGACCCTGCTGTCTTGGGTCTGTCTAAGATGAAAATCAACTTAACAGTTTGGGGTCAACCAGATTTTGCCGGTGAGTCATATTCAGAGTTCACTGAGGTCAAGAGAGGCCTTTGCTTTGTGCTCCTTGGATTCCCAGTCAGGCCCAGGTGCTCCTACACTTCCCAGGATGTTCTGTTTATAAGGGATGTTGCGGGAGGAAAAGCTTTTCAGCATCATGTCATCCACAATTTTTGGAAGAGAGTCAATAAATGTCTATTAACTGAGCAAAACCAAAAAAGTGGGGAACAGGGAGCGTAGCAAATATTCATATTCTGGGTATTTTGCTGTAAGGACAGTAACATTACATGATGAAACCAATAGATTTTCTTGTGTGAGTGGGTATGAGGTTGGCTGCAGGAAGAGGAGCAGCCTTTGGTTTAGCTGCTCCAGCTTTATTCAGAAATGAGACCATTGCATGTGTACAGGGCAGTACAATGGATTTAAAATATCACTTCTTACTACAGTGAGTTGGTCAAAATGGGGACGTTCAGAGACATGAAAGTGGAAACTAACCACGTGGGTGTGCAGTTGGTGAATAGAAATCAGTAGGTTAGTCCTGGGGTTGGCATGGTCTTCAAATGAAAGTTTGCTGTGACTTAGTCATCCTACACACATGGACCTGACGCCTACAGATGATTCACTTGCTATTTCTGGAGGATTCGTGTAGAGACTTGGCCTGACTTGAGTCCAAACTGGTGTAAATTACAGTACATGCAAGAGGAAAGTGATGCAATTCAACCTTTGTCTTAACTCAGCCCATACCTTTTTCATTGTGTTGCACAGAATCTGGCCTTGGGTATGTTCAGGGAGCTGCTGCCTTTGTATGCTGGTGATTTAATTGTCTGGCTGCTGGTTTGTCAGCTGCAAACTGGCTCTGCTGGTGTGAAGGGGAAGAGCAGTGATACCCTTGAGCATTCAGAGGGAAGGCAAGGCCTGAAATTTCCTTGTGAGTTGATCAAGTAGGTGTATGTGCCCTGAATAAGCATAGGGAAGATTAGAGGATGGAAATTTCTCTCCCTGAATAGAAAACACACGTTTAATTGAACTGGAGCTCCCTGATACCTGACAAACATGGAAAATCTCTCCAGTAGTGTATTAGCTTTCCTTTACTGCATGCTTTGTTATTTTGTTTTTCTTGGACTCTTAGTTTCAAAAGTTAGTAGCACTTTAAATATGAAATCTGATAGTGGAGACTGATGATAAAGTGGGGGGGAATGTGCAGTGCAGATATAAATAATGGTCACATTTAATGCCATTACTGGTGACAGGCTCTGTTACACACATAGAAAAGTCATTCTTAAAATTATCTCTTTCTGGAATGCCATTTTTTTAGTGGAATTAATCTCACCGTGTGCAAGATGCTCTGCAGCAGTTGGAGAGATTTATCTCTGGGACTGTCTTGCACACCAGCTTTACAAGGATGTGAGCGTGCCTGAAAATCATTCCAGTTCTCCCTGGAAAGCTGCACAGAAGGAAGCTGGCCTTGAAGGGAGAATTTATAGATGGTACAAGGGACTGTTGAAGGAAGCCAAAAAAGAGTGTGCTGAGAAAGTGGTAGAGGAGAAGCAGCAACAGTGTCTGAGGGAGACATTTCATGGGGGTTGTAGAGAGGTGATTGATGATGGAGGTGGCACTGAATGCAAATCATCCTCAAGAGCTTGCACAGGGTTGTAAGGTTTTCTGTGTCCTTATTAAAGAGCAGCCTCTGTGAAACTCTGTTTGATGTGCCCTCTTAGGTACCACTTTTTTAAGCTGCTCTGCCCTGTCAGGTAACAGGGGGGACTGAAAGTGCAGACTTGAGTTCTGATACAAATGCTTTGATGGAAAATTTGTGTTTGCTTGCCAAAAAAACCTGCCACAAAACAAGAGAAAGTTCTGTTGGCATAACCAGCACAAGAAGGCAGTGAGCATTTGAGCACATGCTCTCTCTTCCTTTAAAACCAGTTAATGTTGTAAAAATATAATAAATTGTGGCAGTCCAAAGACTTCGTTTGGTCCAAAAATCGCTTTAGTTGTCTGCAATCATGTATAGAACCATCAGGACAGAAATTAGTATTCAGGAAGTTAGGTCTCCTGAAGGAAGAGTGCCGAGTTTGTCTGCTCTGCAGCCTCCTTGCAAAGAGAGAGATACTAGCAAAATGCAGAGTGAAATTCACTCTGGGTATGGCTGGTCATTTATATGTCTGCCTGACATCTCCCTCTTTCTCAGGAGGTACTTGCCTCCAATCACCTGGTTTTGATTTTGTCCTGTTTGTATTCATGAAAATACAGCAATTTGTGAGTTTTCTTCTCAGTCTTTTGTTTGTTTTTGCTTTCATTTGTCCTTGGTGGGTTTTTTTGGTCTTAGCTAGTTACGATTTTCTTACAGACTTAATTTTTTAGTGCACATTTTCCAAGAGAAGAAAGTGTTGTTCCAAAAGACGTGTGTCCTGAACTCTTCTTCAGTGCTTTGTATTTTTAAGCTGGCATCATTTCTGCTTAAAAAAGAAAGTGAAAAACTCTTCTGGCAAGTCCAGCAGTGCTTTATCTGAGCAAATTACTGTCTGTATTACAGGGACTAAAGGTAGCAATGATTACTGTGTGTGTAGAGGCTCAGATGCCTCCTCCTGATCCATGTTTAAGGGAGTGTTGCACAGTTTTGTCTTCCTGGGGCTCTGCACTGGATATGGATCTCTGCTTCTTTTACAAAACAGCTTTTTGGAAGACAATGTATTTTTTTAATCTGCTTTGCAATCAGTCTTAATTTGCTTGTGATCACTTTGTAATGTCTGTTTTCAGAGAAGTTCATTAGATGCAGGTAATGCCAAGTATAGGATATCAAGACTAGTGGGAGTAGAAGGACTAGTCATAGGACAAGTTGTAGGGCTTTACATGTAGAGGAATGACATGGTTAAATCTCTCCTCTCTGCTCTGAAAAAAAGCACATCCTGATGTATTTTATGATACTGTATATGATGAATGGTGCCATAAAGCTCTCTGTTGTGGTAAATTGTTTGAAACACTGAAATTAAGAGATATGTTTCATTAGCTAATGTCTGCCTGAACATATAAAATAAGAAATTAATGAAGTTGGAAGAGGAAATCACTGTTATCTGATACATGAATATTTATAGAAATCTTTTCAGTGAACAATTAATTCTGCAGTCTTCTAAGCTAGAGGTTTAATCCCTGCCTCGAACAGTTTCCCTTCCTCTGACTGTTTTATTTTTGAACCATATTTTTATTTTTAAACTGTCAGGTGAGATGCCAAACTCCAATGGCATCCGAGGCTCTGGGGAAGCCATGAATGCTGCACATTTCCCATCTGCCAACCCCAGCCAGAGAATCACTTCCCTGATGCCCTGATACTCAGCATGTCTTGGAGCAAGTTGATGTGAATGTTGTGTTTCATGCATTATTACATGCCTGGCTTATCCCTGCTCACTGACCTGGTCTTTCTCTCTCTCTCTCTTGTCTCCACCCCCTCCCTGGTGTAGCTTTCCCTCCCGGAGGAGCAGAATGAAGTAACGAGGAACGGCTGCGAATCCAAGGAGCTGGTCTACCTTGTACAGATCTCTTGTCAGGTAAATGCCATGTTTTCTCCCCCCAGCTCGTTTTGCAGAGTGTATTGCATTGTGGTTGGCAACAAAGCCTCCTAATATTTGGATCTGATACTTCTCTGTGGCATGTGTGGGGGTTTTTTTTCCACTCCTTCCCTAGCTCTGCCCTCCCAGCGATGCTGTCTGTGCTGCTGCCCCTGGCGTGTGTCAGGAACAGGAGCATCCAGGGGAGAAAAAGGAGTCTGTTCAGCAAAATATCCTCACTACACTTGGTGCAGAGCTGCACAGTGCTTAGCCTAGAGACACCACTGTGCGTGCTGAGGCTGCCTACGTATGCCTGTCCCCTGGGGGACTGTGCAGTGACACAGGGACACAACAGGCACGTGGACAGGAGGGCAGGAGGGAGTGTGATGCAGCCAGTGGTGCTGCTGGTGGAGGCCTGTGCTGGCAGCCAGGAGGGGGGGATTCTTGAGCTGTTGCCAGTTATGTCTCCAGACAGCTGATATGAAATCCTTCCCCTGCTACTCTGGTATCAAAATGCTTTGGGCAGATAAATCTGCCACTTTGTACCACAGGTTCTCTGCTAATTCTGGGGATAGTGACTTTGTAAAATTCCACAGAATAGGTTGTTATAATTTAATAAGCTGAGTGAAATTGTTTGTAAGAAACATACTGCACTGACACATTCAATTGAGAGTTGATGCCTGTGTGTGGTCATTTTGCTGGTCTGAGCACAGCAGTTCTTTCCATGATTCGTCTCAGCACTTCTTGAGCATCCATGTTATCAATTTGTGATGAACATTAATGGGAATCACTGTGGTTTCTGTCCCTCCTTTTAAACCTCTGTGATTCTGCTGACATTTCTCTGGTACCAAAAGGAAATGTCTGGAGTAGGGATGCCTGTGTTGCCTTCATGTGACTTGTGTGGGGCAGGGAAGTATTTCCAGTCTGATTGTCCCAGCACAGTGACTTTACTACACCCAGACACATGAATTTGCAGTGAACTTGCTCTTCTCTCCTAACTCTGCTCACTGGTGAAGGGTGTGTGGGGGGAGCTGAGGAGCAAAGCATCCTCTGCTTTGGAGGAGGAGCTGGGCACACACTGAGCTGCAGCAGTGGAGTTGGTGTGACAAGAACCCAGAGTAATTCCTCTCTTCTGTCAGCACATACAGTGCAACACACACGTGCACATGTTGGTATGTACATTTGCTTATAAATAGTGCTCTTGGGAGAGAAAGTGGGCATGTCTCAAATGGACTGTTTGGGCATCATACCAGTGCTGCTCTGGCCCAGCTGTAGCAGCCTCATACAAAATCATCACTTTTAGAAAAGGCATCCAAGCTAACAAGCAGCACTGCAAAATGTCACAGTGGACACATGGCTGAGTCCCAGCCAAGAGCAGGACAGGGACCAAGAGTAAGATTTTTCAGGGGAATTTTCAGGGGACTTATGGAAATGGGAATTTCAATACATTCTGAGTCCTCACTTTTGGGACTGCTGTCACAGTTCTTATTGCAGAGATGAACCTTTTACTCATTCCTGACTATTTCAGGTGGGCCTATAGAAATACCAGTGTTTTGCAGAGCAGTTTTTCTCTACCCTTGAAGCATAGTCCTTCTGATCTTACTGACATCTCTAAAGATCAACAGGACACATTGGGGTATGACTGTGTCCTTCAGCCCTGCAGCTGATGTTCGTGCAGGAGCCAAGCCCCAGGAGCAGCACACAGGCAGGGCACAGGGCTGGAAGTGAGCCCAGCTGCCCAGCAGCTTGTGTGACACTCCAGACTCTCTGGTGCTTTGCAGCCTGTCACTCACCTCGTGTGTGTTCATCCATGTCCCTGCCTCTCTCTAACAAAGCTCGTGAGAAACTTGTGGCATCTGGATTCAATGAACCAGCAGGCATGGAAGGAGCTGCACAGCTGAGCATCATTTCTACCGTGGAGATACTTCACCCCTGACATCCCCTGGCCTCTCCTAATGTCCAGGGAAAGATTCCATTCAGTCAGGCGTTGGATACCAGTGGTGTCTGGATGGGTTTGGCTCCATGTTAGAATTGAATGGGAGGTGTGAAATAGCTCATGGAATGACAGTGCAGTGGGGAGAGATTTTGGCAGGACATGACTGCATCAGGCCAAAAATATTGAAGGAGAGAGAAAAAAAAATGCCTATAAAACAAATTTCACTTTGCTCACCTTTTGGATATGCTGCTAGTGTTGGTGCTCAGCCTGCTGCAGCAGCTTGCAAAAACCTCCTGGATTTCTTAGATAGACAAATTAAAAACAAAGTCTGTTGCTTAAGGCTAAGTCCATATAAATGTAAAAGCTTTAAGATATGTGTGATTTGTTACAAAACCAGATAATACAGTGAAATCACAGAGTCACAGAATCCTAGGGATTGGAATGAAATGCAAGAGTGTTTAGCCATTTGGCAATTTTAGATTATAGATCTTAGACAAACAGGCTAAAAACCAAGCTTGGGGGTTGAATGTGTTATACTGCTGTGCCTTAGCCAGTTTGGACTGTGCAGATACAATCCATGTGTTGTGTGGTCCATAAAAAGACATTTATTTTGTCATTTCACTCTGCAGCAGACAACAAACCAAAGCTTCAGACCATTAGACTTTTAAAACACCCAGCTCAGTCTTAGCTGTGTTTGGCAGGCTGCAGCTCAGCATTTACACTCAGGAAATTCTATCAAACTCCTTCCCATCTGTACGTATAATTTAATAGTGTAAAGAGGATTATTGTTTGATGCCTATTTTGCAAAGTGAAAACCCAGATAAGGTTTGAAAATTTATTTTGGAGTTGTGTTTGTGACACGTTTGTGCTGCAAGTCAGCTTATGAAACACAAGCTTTGTGTGAGGTTCAGAGGGGTTTTTTTAAATCTCTATTCAGCTTTTCTTCTTAAAAACCACAAAAAAATTTATCTAGTTCATTAGCTCTTACAAAGTAGTGGGAATATAGAGGGAGCTGTTCCAAGGGTTTCTGAAAAGTGAGAAGATAGGATTCTTCTGATTTCTTTGAACAAATTCAAACATGGAAACTAGCGAATGACAAAGGTAAGGTTTCATATTTTTTTGTGGGTAGGAAACAGAGAAGGATAAAATCCTGAAAGGTGTGGTGTGAGGGCTGTACCT